GGAAGGGAGATAAGATGCACCCCTCTCTCACACCTGCCTCGATTGTAAAAAACTCTGTTGTTCCCTCTTCTGTTTTAATCCAGCAACTAGACTGACTGTAAAGGTGTCATAGGATCTGGACAAAGTTTTCTGGGATACCGTATTCTCTAACTATTTTCCATAATGATTTTTTGAGGTACACGAAACTGATCGTTAGCCGTTGTTGATACTCAAGACTTTGTTCTATGACATTTCGTAGAACGAAAATCTGCTCTGTACATGATCTGCCTCTTCGGAAACCTGCTTGTTCGTCTCTGAGCCTTTCATCTACAGACTGTCGAAGCTGTCTCAACAAAACAGTGCTGAAAACTAAGTTATTGACCTAAAAAAGTCTAAATAACATTTTAGTTTTAAGTTCTTATTTGATGTGTAAAAAAAATCTTTTAATAAACCCTAATGCTTTGATTTTTTTTATTTCATCAATATGGGGATTCTATATTTTTTAAAATTTATTATTACACATAGAACAGAGCCGGCCTTAGGTATAGGCAAATTAGGTGGACGCCAAGGATCCCCGATTGGTGGGGGTCTCGTAAGGACTGAAAAAAAAATAGAAAAAATAATAACGGAATTTGGATAAAATCTCAAACATGGCAGAACTCTGCAACTCATCTATTGGTAGGCCTATAACTCTAAGTGTTTACTATTGTTCAAAATTCCACAAGCACTATATGAATTTATTATATTTGTTGATTTAGATGTTTGAATTAAGGTGTCAATTCATTGTGTAATTTTATGTTTAGATCTTTTTATTTTACAATTTCATTTGGGCCCACCATATTCACATCGTCTACGGCCTCCAATTACTCTGCCTAGTTTAACATGAATAAGAGAAGTGGTATTTATTTGTTTTAGTTTTGTTACTCTTAATATTTCAAGCAATCATTTTGTTTTAATGTGTTTTCATTTTTAAAATATGGAACAGTCCATACTCGATATTAAGATTTTATTTTACTTATAATACATTTAATTTTTTGTCAAAGGTAAAATGAAATTTTCAAGAGCTTTCCTTTTATTTTGTGCGCGACAGAGACGGACAGACGAAACACGCATAAGTGATTTCGAGTTTTACCCTTACGGAAGCTGCCAAAAAAATAAGAATAATATATTATTACTAGTCGACACACGGCGCAGACATACGCAACTATTTTACAGAGCCGGCCTTAGGCCACTCCAACCTATGCGGCCGCAGTGGGCCCCGCACTTTCATAGGGCCCGCGCTAATTCTAGGTGTAAATAATTAAATTAAACCATTTTATAACTTTTAACAGATTTCCCGCGGCCTCCTGATTTACCAGGAGCTCCTGGAAATCTCCAAAAATTGCAAAATGTACGAATAAATCCGAGAAATCTCCGGGAATTAACAAAAAAAATGTGAAAACTCATAAAAATCTCCGGAAATATATAGACAAAAAATTGCCATTTTTTGGGGTGTCATTTAATATGGAAAACGCCAATCCTACGCGCGATAAAAAATGCATTATGCAACACTCGTAATTGTGGAATCTGGTGAAAGTCGCTTCTCTCGCCTAAAACTAATGAAGAATTACTTGAGGTCAATAATTCTCGAAGATAGATTAAAACATTTGGTAATTCTTGCTACTGAGGAAGAAACACATTTTTGATGATATACTATATGACTTCACTACACGCTAGGCTCGTAAAGAAATTCTGTACTTAGTAAAGAATGAATAAAATGTAAATTTATTTTCGAATACTGTTACGTATCTAGGTAACAATGCCTAGATACTATTGTTTTTTTTCTCTTGACCTGTAGGTTGTCTGCCCCTTTTGTAATAAGTTTTTTTTTATTTTATTTTTCACGGTGAGTCAAGCCACACAGACAGTGACCGGTCCTTGACCTATGTGTGTACCTCTGGTTGAAAGGAGGGTGGTTTTTTTTTTCTTCTGTCTCTTTGAAGAGCGTTCTAGATCTGGGTGTTGATGACTTTCTGTTCTAGAAATTACTAGATATCGACGCGCGGTAGATTATATAAAGACCGCTCGCGTAACGTTGACAGACAGACATACGGAGACAGTCGTGAGACAGAATAGCGGAGACATTGCGTGACCCGTGCGTGGTATACCAATTGATCGTGTAAGTTAAGATTTTTCTTTTTTCAAGGCCTTGCTTGTATTTGTAATTATATTTTCAAACTCTTGTATTGTAATATTTTTACATGCCATTTTTGTAAAAGGGTTTTGGTCAACCCTTCCATTTTGTATTGAGTTATATAATGATTAAACATTAAGTTGATATTTTACCTTCCGATTTCTTGTGTCATTTTTTTTTGTTATTCATTGTAAGTCTTTGATTAAATTCAGACTTAAGATAAGTGACACAACTACCTTTTTTCTCTTGTCACGTTCCCCTAGGCAAGCCATTTAAAAGTAGAAGTCAATTCGTAATACGTGACAATACAAACTCTTAATTTTTACTTTCGCATAGGGCCCCACAATGGTTAAAGGGAAACTCCGATGGTTTTGATAATTTTTGATATAATATGTGTTTTGATTTACAGATAATGAATATATGATTTTTTTTTTCTTTGCAATAATAACTTAGTAATTGATGTTTTTCCGAGGTAATTTTCCTGCGCATCCAAAACAGACTTTCATCGGGTTTCTATGTGACGTCACAAATGTGTTTTAATCTATTGACTTATTGTATAACAGGAGACCAAACAGCAAAGTTTACATTCTCGTAAAAAGAAATATATCTTGGTCTATGCAGTTAGATCTAGGATCTTGTAAGCAAAGAAAAAAACGCGTATTAAAAGTAGATTTACATGCTTTACTAACCACGGCAGTGTGTATTTTTTCGCCAGACCACTCAACACACTACAAACACTATCGCTTGGTTGTCTTGTCATGACCGACTACACGACACGACTAGCCTTACACTGACCAGTTTGTTCGAATCAGCCAGACATACGATCTATTACTTCTTGGGACAGAGAGAGAGGCTTAGATGAAAAATGTTACTCTTTTTTCTCGAGTTGATTGTCCTAATGCTTTTAGATCTATCTATACATGTATATCTATATATCTATATCTATCTCTCTCTCTCTCTCTCTCTCTCTCTCTCTCTATATATATATATATATATATATATATATATATATATATAACTGTATCATAGCTCTGGACTAGGCCGTCACTAAGCCTAACAGCTACTGTAAGAATGAAGCGATACGATTGGTCAAATCTAGTTTCTCTTTCAGTGTTGTTGAGGGAAGTGACGTATGAACTAGCTTAAAACAAAAATCTCATAGAACCCCGTTTTTTGTTGTTGTTTTCTTAGATGTCAAGAATTTACTAATTTATTTAATATAAATGTTTCTAAGCATTTAAATAGAAAATGGTAAAATGTTTACTATTACAACTTTTTATGCAGAATTTAAAATATGTCAATAACTCAAATTTGAAAAACCATCGGAGTTTCCCTTTAATAACAGCCCTGCTATTTAGTGACGCGTGAATACAGAATAGATTACTTGTTCTCCTCCCCCCCCCCTTTTTCTTTTTTTTTTCGCCGCTTAAGTTACGTGAGGTAACTCAAGTCCGACTCGCGGAAATAAAAGAATGATCTTTCCATTACTTCTTTTTTGTCCAAACTGTTGAGCCGTGAAGAGAATTATATATAGAGAGAGATTTAAGACTTTATGAGGACTACTATAGTAAAATATGCGTGACAGTTACCTACACGGTACATTCTTAACTTTTTTAACATTTTGACAAATATAAATAAATAAATATTACTAAAAAAAAAAATACGGAAAAAAAATCTTTTTCTGTTAAACCATCTACTTAACATTTATGTATTATTTTAGAAGTGGTGTATTTTTATGAAAAAAAAACAACAACAAACTATTAGAAAACAAAAAAGTATCCGTTGCACGAGAATTTCGCAAGCTGCAAAACATTGTGAGACTTGATTTTCAATAGCTTTTATGTTTTTTGACGTCTGAATGTGACGGACGGACGGACGGACTACACAAAACAATAGCTTCTTTTCCCCTTTCGATGGCAGCTGAAAAAATGAAAAATGAAATAACAATCAAGTTTCTTCTCTTTTTCATTTCATTTAAAAAACCCTCCCAGGGCACACTTTGGTAGCTTACAGCGCACCCCCATCCCCTCTCTCAGGCGAAGTGAGCGCGACCGAAATTGTGTTCCTCTTGTGAAAAAACACTGTGATTGACAATCATTGAGATAGAAGTAGAAGGCATAATTATTCAATTGATATAAGTTTAGTTTTTAAACCATCAGTACAGTCTATTGGATATAAACAAACTCCAACTGTAGAATTGAATGGTTTTTCTTTATCGAATATTACTGTAGCACCAACAGAGAGTATAAGATAAGAAGATAAGGCTACAAGCATTGTAACATTGAGTAAATAGAATGTTGACATTACACAATTGATCTAATATTACCTAAACCTAAAAGGGAGACGCAGTGGTTGAGCGCTTGGCTTCCGAACCGGGGACCGGGGTTCGAATCCTGGTGAAGACTGGGATTTTTAATTTCGGGATCTTTGGGCTCCTCTGGGTCCACCCAGCTCTAACCTGACATTAGTTGGGGAAAAGTAAAAGGCGGTTGGTCGTTGTGCTGGCCTCATGACACCCTCGTTAACCGTAGGCCACAGAATCAGATGACCTTTACATCATCTGCCCTATAGACCACAAGGTCTGAATGTTAAAACTTTACTTTTTTTTACCAACAGAGAGTACCACGTCGACTACTGTCGCACCAACAGAAAGTACTACCACTGAAAAACCAATAGAGACTACAACCAATGCAGCACCACTGACTACGACAGGGCTAATGGAAGCTAAGACAACCTCAACACCAGCTGAGACTACTACAAATAACAGTCCAACACCAGCTGAAGCTACTACAAATAACGGTCCAATATCAGCTGAGGCTACTACAAATAACAGTCCAACATCAGCTAAAACTACTACAAATAACAGTCCAACATCAGCAGAGACTACTACAAATAACAGTCCAACATCAGCAGAGACTACTACAAATAACAGATCAACACCAGCCGAGACTACGCCTCCAAGTACTTCTACATTAACGGGGACTACGGCGTTTAACAACATGTCATCTACAGTAATCACGTTGTCAACCACATCCACAACACAAGGGACAACGTTGAAACAACCCTCGACATCCGCTGTCACGTCAATCACGAGCACAACCCCAAAAAGTAAGACATGTTTTGTTAGGCCTGTCATCTGTTACTCTTTTTAGAACACTCAGTTGTCACATAAATCTGCAGTGTTTCTCAAACTTTTATTTTGGCCTACCCCAGGACAATAAAAAATGTGGTGGGACACCCACCTTTTCCCGCCAGCTAGAAGCTGGAAACTCTCCCAGAGGCGTCCGGATGCAAAAGTTCCCCCTGCATTTTGAGCAGCATAAAAACTCGTTCTCCTGAAGTCTAAAGCACTTTCTTCGTTTTGTTTTTCATTCAGTTGAAAGAAAGTTGGTGGGATGGGAAAAGCCAATGAGCTTTAGACATTTTAGGCAACTATAGAGCAGGTCTCTTCTGTAACGGGGTGACAGTCATAAGATCATGTTTATGTTAGGCAAGTCGTCATGTCACGGGCCTGTTTGTGTCAATCAAAAGACGTCAACAGTACAATGATATGACACTCCGGACGGTTCTAAAGTGAGAAAAGGATTGGGAAGGGGGGGGGGGGGAGGAGATTTATAACTACAATACAGAAAAAAAAGACGTTTACATCATCTGCCCCATAGATTGCTAGGTCTCAAAGGCGGAATTTTATTTACTTTAAGAACGCCCACCTTCGTCTTCCACCTGACAGCACCTTTCGCCGCCCTCCCCCAAGGTTATGAAACGTTTCATAATGAACATATCGTCTGTCAGACTTTATCTGCTACGTATTATGTGCTCACTTTTCAATGGCCTAAAGAGTTTTGTCCTTAAAACAAGAGCATTATTTCATTATTATTTTTTGGTTAATTTCATATATAAATGCAATTAAATAGCCAACCATATGCAGTGATACTACAGAATAAAAAGTCTATAGAACTCCATACCCGACATTTTCTTCTAGAAGTGCTTAGTGAAAAAAAAAATGCGACTGGTTATGTTCGTCTTTTGATTGGACCTGGATGGGACTTTCTAGTCCTTTTATTGAAAGCCTAGGCAGAACATACAATTGCGTTTCATCCTATTGATACATAGATACAGTTATAAACACAGATAAATAGATATATATTAGAGGGCTAATTGAATGAGACGACATTATTTTTAAAGTTTTATTTTTCATTCAAATTGTGTTCCTTCTTTCAAAGGCTTTTTTAAATATTTATTTATGTAGTTTTACGTTGGACTACAGGTTTTTTTTTTAATTCCCTATTAGAACTAACGGCCTAATTGACATTGTTAAGCTCTTCTGTATCTAAAGATAATTTCATTAATGTCAGGCGAGCTCAGTGGCGACCTAAAAACCTCGGAATTTGAACTCCTCGTCACAGGCTCGGAAGCCTAGCTTTTAAACACTCGACCATCGCGTTTCACAGATGGAACCCAGGTCATTTATAATTAAGATTTCACTTGTCACAAATGGTTAGGGTCCCTCTAACACCTGAAACCTCGGCATCCTAACCCCGCCAACTACAAGCTTTGCACTATGTGGGGAAAAAATTGTTGACAAGAATAGGTTTCGAATCCACGCCAAATAAGAGACAGGCCCATTATCCAAAGCCATAGATCACCCAGTCACGACTCCAGTACCGTCTAGAATTTAGAATTCTAGATTGAAAAAAAAAATTGTAGAGTTTAAATTTTGTTTTTTCAAGTTCCATTAAAATTTCTTTCGCCGTGGCCACCGATTTATTGTATTTCTTTTCGCTACGAACTTTTTACGTTACCAGTTGTTTTTTTCTTCAAGACTTGAAATCCAGAAACTGTACTAAGAATTGAAGAAAAGAAAGCAACTTTTTGAACACAGGTAACTGTATCAAACATTAGATTAGATTATTGCTTTTACTGTTGTTTTTGACTAATAAATGTTTATGACATTTATTTAAAAATTTATTTTTTTCTAACTTCAAGAACTAGATAATACTCACATATAAAGAAATTGGTAACACTCACATATAAAGAAATTGGTAACACTCACACATAAAGAAATTGGTAACACTAACACATAAAGAGATGTATACATATCTGTACGAAATCAGTAGATCTGTTTCATTAAGGTTCTGATCGTATTTTATGGACATACATCACAATAAGAACTTTATAGGTTTTTAAAAACAAATAGTTTCAGATTTATTAAGGCCCTAAGCTCTTCCAGTTATGGGACTCGTTATAAGTTCAGATATTATACTTCAGTACAAATTTGGATTGTAATAATAATGGCAATTACTTCGAAACCAAAGTTTAAGGATGAGTGAAGTGTATCACATAGCTAAGCAAACCCATTCTTGACCTGCATATTTTTCCACATCTGATGCAGACAAGGCCTTTTTACGCCGGGATCTTCTGCGCCAGTCTTCTACGAGGGCTTTTCTTGGGATTTGAATATGTGTGCCACGGCCATCGTGAGAGCTTTCCAATTGTCTCTTTCAGGGACCAACAGCCGCCAGTTACTTCCCTCTATGCCAGGTAGGGGAAAATAGTACCTGAGTTGATCTTTATAGGTTCTCAGGTTCAAATCTCTTTGAAGATTGGGATTTTGAATTTCGGGATTCTTAGGACGCCCCTGAGTCACCCCCAACTGTACCTGCTGTACATAAATCTGCTGTAGGATTATGGGATGTAGCTCTAGGCAATCAAGTAGAAAAACAAGCAAAATTTTTTTAATACTTTTAAAAACAAGGTTACAAAGACAGTTTGTGTGAAAACACAAACTCAAAATCGGCCCCCGAAGTGGTTCACCCAGGCAGGCTTCAATATTTTCAGAAAGAACATCCGAATGAAATTATATCTAAAGCAAATGACATATAAGAATGGAAAAAGAAGGTTGACTGGTCTTGTGTAGTGCCCCAACGGTCCAGTAGATCAAAGGATAGGTGAAAGTGAATGTAAAGTTAGATGTGAAGCTGGCATAACTAGTTTCCCTTTCAGATCTTGTGGTCTATAGGACAGATGATGTAAAGTTCATCTGTTTTTTGGGCTAACGAGGGTGTCATGTAGCCAGCACAACGACCAACCGCCTTTACTTTTCCCCAACTAATGTCAGGTGCCCATTGGAGCTGGGTGGACTCAGAGGCGCCCAAGGATTCCGAAGTTGAAAATCCCAGTCATCACCAGGATTCGAAACCGGAACCCCCGGTTCGGAAGCCAAGCGCTTTACCGTTCAATTACCGCTCCTCCCCGGGCCTAACTGATGTCTTATATTTAATATAATTGTTTTGATAAGGTTGAATTTTTTTGTTATCCGTGTGATTATTGCAAATTTGTATAAGAAAATGCAGTTTACAAGATTACTATTCGTTTTAAATTATGTCTAACTAAAAATGCATACTAAATAGATTTTTTCTCTTGAAAAAAAAACGGAAACATTTGTTTGTGTGTAAATATAGTAATTAGTATATCAGAACTCACATAACTTAACAATACAAATATAAAAACAAAACTTTTTGACAAAACATCTACAACCGTTTGCATAAATGTGTTATAAATTTGGAAAACGGTAGACTCCCCTTATAATGAGCCTCAAGTTTTCGAGTGTTTAATAGTTAATAGTTGTAAAAGTGGTGTATTTTTACGAAAAAACTGCTATCCTAAGTGATTTAAAAAATTAGAATTTTCGCTTTCAGAAAAGAAAAAAGTAGCCTTTCCACCAGAACTTTGAATAGTCTAAAATATTATGATGTCGGATTTTCACTATCTTTTCTAGCTTACGAGATCTAAACGGGACAGACGGACAGACATTTCACACAAAACTAATAGCGTCTTTTCCCCTTTCGGGGGCCGCTATAAAAATCTTCTATTAAGTTTAAAAGTAAGTTTGGATCAGTCATGTCATTACATTTGCTATAGATCTAGACTAACAATAATAAATGTGTGCGATTAGAATTATTTATTTAATAATTGTTTCTGTTTAACGCAGTTTCATGCTTTGAGCTTTCTCAATACGCTTTGATCCTTATCACTTTTCTGGATCAGGTGGAAAGGGGTAGGGGAGAAAGAAATGGTATCTGGGGGATTGCTTTTTAAATGTATTTATTTTAAAAATTGAACGACCTGAATTCAAACTCCTGGGCTAAAGCCTTCTCAAACCGACACGGTAACCACTCTGCTAGCGCATGAACATTGGAGATTGTATCTATTGTTTTTATTTCATGTTTGTGTTCATTACGCCTCAGAATACGATCTATAAAGGGGACTAGTTCTGCATATACTACCACTTCAGTCAAGTACAATTTCTTTCCCTTGTTCGTTATTCCGAACAAAATAATTAATTACCAATAGTAAATTAACTAATTGGATTTTTTTTTTAAATGTATTCTTGTGTTGTCAGGTAAAAGAAATAGTTGCGCAAAATTTCAGCTTGATTTGAGATTGGGTGGGGGAGAAATAACGTGTAAAAACTTTTCTAATAGACAGACAGACAGACAGACAGAGTGAGTTGATAATAAGTTTTGTAAAAAACAAACAAAAAACGAGCAGCTTTGTTTCAACTATTGTGATACTCTTCAGACAAAACTACACCAGAAATCATTTTAAGGTTGATCCTTGTTTCGATTCAGAGATAGAATCTACATCAGTTTAAAGTTCATTTATTTTGTTACCAAGAAGAACTAATAATTATAAAAATCTTATTTCCAAAGCTTATATCAACTCACTTTGGTAAAAAGTGAAAACACTAATATAGGTCATCTCAGCATGTTTATTGATTTTAATATTTTAATAACAAAAAGCTAAAGTTTACAGCTTAAACTTAGCCTAAAATTCTATCATCCGCCCCCCCCCCCCCCCCCACGTCTCTTTTGTCTTTCTCTCTCTCTGATAATTAGATGCAGCGATATAAGGAAATGGCGTCCTAAAATTGTTCAAATGATCAAATAAAAGTCACTAGAAAAGATGGAACGTCATCAAAGTATTTAAAGAAGCTTGTCTCCCTTCTCTGTGGTTTGAAGACTTGGGAACTACTAGAAGAAGGTTGTTACATTCGCCAGGCAAGACTTTTGATTGATGAACAAAGGTCACGTGTCAGGTACAGGAAC